CTTTTTGGATACCTTTCTGTAGTAAGCCGGCGCCATCTCCTGGATTTTTGTTGGGCTTTCAGGATGAAGGAGTGGGTACAGTTGGAAATTAGGGCTTTGATTGGGAGTGGAGGGGGGAATATGTGTGAACCTGTTTTGGAGTAGAGAATTTAGCCCCTGATAAGCCGTTGCCATCGAGTTGATTCTGACTCATAGCAACCCTATAGGACAGAGTAGAACTGCCCCATAGGGTTTCCAAGGAGTGGCTGGTGGATTCAAACTGCTGACCTTTTGGTTAGCAGCCCAGCCTTTTAACCACTGTGCAATCAGGGCTCTGCCCCTAATATAGTCACTTCCCACTTATCTTTGCTTTCTTTCTGTACAGCTCTGTACCATTTGATAATACTAATCAGTTCCTGTTGCTTGAAATTCTTGTCCTTGGCTTTTGCAAGATTGTACTCTGATATCCTAATTATATGCTGACAGCTCCATTTCTGTTTATTTCTCTGACGTCCTCATCTCCCATTGTTGCTGTTTCTTAACACTTTCTTCCAGGGAAAGCTATCTTGATTTCCACAATCTCTTCTGGGCCTTTGACTCCCAAACCTGTATGTCAGTCTCCCCCAAACTTTCTTGAGCTTCAGACTGTCCTGCTGCCTGCCCCGCCCCACCACATTCTACACATCAAAGAACAAAGTTGTCATCTCTTCTCTTCCAAAACCAGTATTTTCTCCTAACTTACCCTTATGCTTTAATGACCACACTTAGGATTGTTCCCCCAGAACCAACAATGACCTCCTCCTTTTCTTCAAACTAGATTCAAGACCCTTCAAACATGACCCCAGCCCACCTTTCCAGCTGTCCCTCTCCCTGCTTCCCTTCCCCAATCCTACCTTCTCAAATCTACTACTTGTTCGCCATCAAATTCCACAAAGTATCCATGTCTGAGGCTGCTTAAGCTTGTTCCTCTGCCTCAAATACCCTTCCCTTTCCCTTCTCTATCTGTTGCAGTCCTACCCATTCTTTAAGGCCTCTCTCCAGTGCCTTCATGAAACCTTTCTACAGCTTAACAGTCATGTATGATTCCTCCTTCCTCTGAAGTCTTATACTCAGGTCCTTTAATGTGGACCAGCGTATGCCAGGCACTGTAGTAGGCACTATACATCCAGCATTTCACTTTACCCTCTCTACAGCCCTGCCTGTGAGGCATACATTTATTCCCATTTTGTAGATGAGAAAACAGGTTCAAGTCTGTATAACGTGAAACTTCTGTCCTTGGCTTTTGTGAGATTGCACTCCTTGGTAGTCTAATTATGTGCTAACAGCTCCATTTCAGTTTGTTTCTCTGGCTCCTAGTCTATTCCTTGCCTCCCTCTTACTAAAGTAAGAATCTAAAGCTCAGAATCGAAGCTAAGTTTGCCTGTCACTATGAGTCGGAATCAACTCAAAGGCAGTGGGTTTGGTCTGGTTTTGGCAACCATCTTCATATACTGCTTGAAGGGCATAGTGGTGTTGGTGCCCTGAGGACCTTTGATCTTCAGGATGTCAATGACTGCAGCAGAAACATAGTAAACAGCCTTGTGGAAGCTCTTTGAGTGTTGGATGGAAAGTAGATGAATAGAGAAAAGTACATATTTATGAAAAAAATTGTAGCAAGTAAAAAATCAATTCTGTACATGAAAGGAAGATTTGGAACCAGTTTCCAGCCCGAATTTAGTTTACTTTTAAAACAACTCAGAAGATGGGGGAGGAACAGCCCCTTGCTCCTACTTGTGTTTATAATTGGAGAGCTATTCTCAGGCAGCAAGAGCTCCGTACAGCTGCTAGCCCCTTCTAGATTGGCCCTCCCCTCGTGTCTACACACGTATCTATCAGCTGTTGGTTTGGTGGGCTCATGAAGAAGATAGGGGTGTAGAATTATCCCCATTTTACAGGTGAAGAAACTGAGACTCAGAGGCAACATAGTTTAGAAGAGCACAGACTCTAGAATCAGACTATGCCTGCATTTGAATCCTGATTTCAACACTTACTGGCTATCTGACCTTGGCAAATTATTTAACCTCTCTGAGCTTCAGTTTCCTCATCTATAAAATAGAAATAATAATAGTATCTACTCAAAGGACTGGAGCCCTGTTGGCATAGTGGTTAAGTGCTACAGCTGTTAACCAAAAGGTCAACAGTTTGAATCCACCAGCCACTTCTTGGAAACTCTATGGAGCAGTTCTATTCTGTCCTTGTCTTAGTCATCTAGTGCTGGTCTGACAGAAATACTACAAGTGGATGGTTTTAACAAAGAGAAGTTTATTCTCTCACAGTCCAGTAGGCTACAAGTCCAAATTCAGGGCGTCAGCTCCAGGGGAACGCTTTCTCTGTCGACTCTGGAGGAAGGTCCGTGTCATCAATCTTCCCTTGGTCTGGGAGCTTCTCTGCACAGGAACCTCAGGTCCAAAGGACGCACTCTGCTCCCAGCACTGCTTTCTTGGTGGTATGAGGTTCCCATGTGTCTCTGCTCGCTTCTCTCTTTTATATCTCAAAAGAGATTGGATTAAGACACTATCCAATCTTGTAAACCTTATCAGTATAACCTCATCACAGTGATAGAATTTGTAACACGTAAGGAGATCACATATAACCTCATCATACTGATAGAGTTTACAACACATAAGGAAATCACATCAAATTACACAGTCATACAATACTGGGAATCATGACCCAGCCAAACTGACAGATATTTTTGGGGGACACAATTCAATCCATGACAGTCCTTAATAGGGTCGCTATTAGTCAGAGTCAACTTGACAGCAACAGGTTTGGTTTGGTTTTGGTTTTACTCAGAGAACTTCTGTGAGGATTAAATGAGTTAATGTGTGTAAAGTGCTCAGAATAGTGCCTGGCATTATAGTTAAGTGCAGTATTATTAGTAAATGCTATATATCAGATAATATCATTATTATCATAATTACACCTTTAGCAAGTAGTAGAGCAAGGTCTTAAATCCAAATCTTCTTTTTCTACTTTCCCTTTCTATGGGTTTATGTTGAGGAAAAAACACTGGTCCAGGAGGCTGGCAATCTGGTGACATTAGGCAAGTTACTCTTGCTGTATGATATCTGATCTATAAAATGAGGTCTTGGGGGTGATGCTCTTTGAAGTGCTGCCTAGCTCTAAAAGTCATTCATTCCAGGTTGGCCCTGGAAACAGGATTGCCAGTTGGTTAGTTGGTTTGTGACCCTCCTGAATTGATTCTGTCCGGGGTATATGTTTCTAGAGGTTGGCCCTGTGACCTGAGCACCCAAGCAGGCCAGCTGGACTGAATGGGGGTAAGAGTGAGCCAACTTTTGCTGAACGAAGCCAACCACCGAGTCCCTAAAAAGAAGAATGCACAGTAGGAAGAGCACAGGCAGTGGAATTAGCCAGACCTGGGCCTGGGGAACCTCAAACAGCAATATCCATATCTTCTTTTTGTGTACAGAATAGGGCTAAGGGAGTTGGTAATTTACGCTGAGATATTCTTTTGACCCTTGATAAATAAGCCCAGGATATAACCACAAGTCCTTATGGTGCTCTGGGTTGGGGCTATATGTGCTTATTGAGCTCCAGCAATGCCCAACTGGGACCTATCTTTGGCAAGAGAGAGGAAACTAATCTATAAAGATTTATTGAGGCCAGTGACCAGCAATTCTCTTTCTCCACTGAGCAAGAACAAGGAGAAATTGACTTCTAATACAACTGGAGAAAGCAAGTTCACCATAAAGATGAGTCTCCCAATAGTCAGAGCCACCAGTGACTAAAGGTGGCTGTCCAAATTTCCTTCTTGGGGTTCTTTAAGAATAAGATGGACTTCTATAAACTCAGCATAGATGGAGGTCTATAAATTCAGTATAGCTAATGAGTAGACATCGGTAGTACAGTATGATGAACATGAGAGCACATGAGGTCAGAAGACCTGGCTCCATTATTTATTGCTACATTATTTATTACTCTCTGAGCCTCAGTTTCCTCATCTTTAAAGTGTAGGTAATAGGGAAACCCACTTCATTCAGTGAGGATAAATTGACACAGTAGATGTGAAAACACTTTGCAAACAGTAAAGCATGAGGTACTTGAGAGGTGGTGTTCTAAAAGATCCTATTGGAAATATCTTTTTTTTTGTCCATGCTGAGAAGCTTTCCTCATGCCTTACCTTCTATGGAAGGCACAATGGCTAGAACCCTGAGCAATGGAAAATGCCTCAGACAAGGCCTAACCAACAGAATACCTTAACCAAGTCAAGAGATCATGGTGTGTGGGTGTGTGTGTGTGTTCATATGTGTGTTATGTGTTGTACATTTAGCTGGTGTGTTGGAGGGTAGACCTGTGGGAGAAGATGTGTGTTCCATAGCTATCTCTGTTGTCTTTGAACTGTTTTGTCTTTGGTCTTGTGTAGCCATGACAGCCTTGGGGAATTAGTCCTTTCTCAAAGCAGAGTGATGGAAAAATTCACTCAAGAAGAGAGAGTGCTTGAGTCTCTTTGTCTGACAGGCCATATGTTCTCTATTCTGAAACCTTTTTCTCCAAATGCCAGGAGGACTGATGGCTCATCCAGGCTGGAACCAGTTGGGGGAAAAAAAAGAACAAATAACACAGTGGTCAGGATGGTAGCCAGAGAAAGGCAGACTACCCCTCCCCCCATCCTCATCACTGTGCTTAGATGAGTGTTGTGACTGTGTGTGTGTTCATGTGGCAGTGGGATAGATGTTTGCCTACTGCTGTGTGGAGCCCAATCCTGCTGGCCACAAAGTCTAATGAACAGGATTAGGGTCTAACCACAGCCCCTGCCTTGCTAGGTGATCCTGAGCTTGTCCCTTAACTTATTTGTGGCTTGGTTTTGTCATCTATCTGATGCAGAAGTCAACCCAGACCCTCTGTGTATCTCACAGAGTAGTTGTACAAGTCGTTGAGTGAACCTATGCCAAGATTGAAATCCTTGGGAGCAAGGCACCACAGAAAGCCAATTCTTTCATACCACGACCTCTCTGGATGGCATAATGTGTGGGTGACAGCAGGAGGCTGCAGGACTAGGGTCCATTGTGTGTGAGAAATGTCATGGTCTGTTCCCCCAAAGGGAGGGATGCAGTGGGGTTAAATAATGTACCACCAGCTCTCAATTGGTCAGTTCCAAGGAGGAGGGGGGAGGGGAAGAGGAAAGCAGAGAATTGAAAGCAAATAAGCCTTATCTTCCTTTTAGCTATTGATTTCAGCCATTACACCCATTTAAGACCCAGGACCGCCATGAGGTACCAAGGAGAGATGGACTGGAGCTTTCTTTCTTCTCTGGGGGTGGACCTCATGAGTAGGGATAAAAGCATGAGACCTATGTAATCCATATCCACATGCTGGGTCATTCCGCCCACTGGCTAATGGAGAGTTGACTGTATTGTTTGTCTTGTGATCGAATGGAGCTTGTGCTCCAGTGCCATCCTCCTTATTCCCACCCCTCATCACTAGTATGTATAAGTTTTTCAAAAAGTAGTATAGATTTGTGGGTGGAGGAAGGGCCAAGCAAAGTAGTCAGCTGTGTGGACTGAACACATTCTCGTTTTGTCTCCTAAGCTGATCACTGGAGATTCCATCGTTAGTGCTGAGGCAGTATGGGATCACGTCACCATGGCCAACCGGGAGTTGGCATTTAAGGCTGGCGACGTCATCAAAGTCTTGGATGCTTCCAACAAGGATTGGTGGTGGGGCCAGATCGACGATGAGGAGGGATGGTTTCCTGCCAGCTTTGTGAGGGTGAGTGTACGCCTTCACTCTCCTCTTCTCTCTCCTTGGCTACCCACCCCTGGCTTATGGTCCCTGTTCTCCTGCTCATGCCTCTCGTGGTGGCTCCTCTCACATGTTTTCCCAATTTTTTTTTTTGGCTCCTACCCAGGACCTGAGCTTCCTTTCTATAATCTTTGCTCTTCTAATTTTTAGACTTTTCCTTTGTTTCTTATTTATTTTAACAATCCCCCACCCTCCTACCTCCTCACCCATTTCTACTTTGTATGAATCACTTCCCTTGTCTGGGCCTTAGCTTCCCCACCTGGGGTTGGCTGCTATGGTTTTTGAAGAACGTTTTAACTCTGTATTGCTGTGAACTTTTACCTTTCTTGTCTCTCGTATTTTCTGCTTTCTTTTCCTTGTCTCCTCTTTTTTTTTTTTTATCCTTCTTCGTATAGATCCTTCCCACTCTCCTTCCCATTCCCTTCTCTTCTCCTCCTCATTTCTGTCATTTAGGGAAGTATAAACACCCTCATGTATTGTCAGAGGTGGAGTCTTCAAATGTTAATGTATGAGTGTGAGCTACCTGCCCCCCCTCCAGGGGCCAGAGTTTGATAATTGCAGATCTTATTTTTTGCAAGAGTAAGGTGACTGGGATCTAGGATATGGTGGGGGTGGGAGGCAGACAGCCTGACAGACTTCGCAAGGCCTTGGGCCTTTTGACATTATTCCATGAAGAACATGGCCCTTAACAGAGGGTCTCCCGGCAGCTTGTTTCCTCTGGGTCACCAATTAGCAGGTTTTTATGGGAGAAGAACATTGGCTTGGTATCTCAGCTCTTGGGTTATGAGCTAGAATCGGCTCTTTGACAATTGTGAGCTTTTACCCATCTGAAAAATGGTGTTGGTAATTCTTTCATGCCAGAGATTGTCACAGTGAATGAGATAAGCCATGTTAAAACTGCTTTGGAGCAATACAAGTACCAAAGCCACATGAGGTTGTATTATGATCATTCTTGCCACAGCTTTATTAGACTATCACCTTTTCTTAGTTTCTTTTGTGAAAGAAGGCTAGAGTCCTCTGAACCCCAAATAAAAGGTCAGAGGGGTTTGGGCCCTTGGAGGTTGAAGGGCCTCAGGATTAGAATGATGGCAGTGTGGAATGAGGGAAGGAGCAGGCCGTTTGTTGTCAGACAACCTGAGATGTGGTCTCAGCTTTACAATCGCCTAGCTCTGTGGCTTTTGGCAAGATTTTTTACTTCCCTGAACCTCAACTTCCTTATCTGAAAAATAGGGATAGCAGACTTGTGAAGATTAAGTGAGATCACATATGCAACTAAAGCATCTAGCACAGTGCTTGGCACATGTGAGGTGCTTGACAAATGGTAACTTATTTTATCATCATTATTATAATAATAATTATCATCATCATTTCATTAGATTCAAGAAGATACATGTGGCCCTAGTAGCTGAAAGAGGGCTCCTTCCTTGGAGGGCTGCAAACCCAGAAAACACCGTTACCTGATTAGGACAGTTTGGGTGAGGGCATTGCGCAGAAGCAAAGGAGTAGACAAAATGATCGTTCATGGCTTTTTATCCTGAGAGTCTAATGAAATATCCAGTCCTTCTTCCCTATGTGGCATCTTCCATCAGTCTACAAATGCCATCTGTGTCCCAACTCATCTTTGCTGGGTGATGAATCAGTCCCAGGGGTAGTCAGTACAAAAATGGTATGGTTGTTGTCAGACCTCCTCTAACTTTACAAGGGGGAGGAGAGAGAATCGAGATCAATATAAGCCCAAGGCTGATTCCTATGAGGTGGATGTCAGACATACCTCCTCTCTCCAACGTTTTTACCAATTCTGACACCAGCCCTCCCTTCCATGGCACTCTCTACTCCTCTGCTGGATTTGATAATTCATTGCAATGGCCATACTGAACTCACAGACTATACTCATAGTTATGGGGCTCATTAGGGAAGTAACAGATTACAATTCAGGATCAGGAACAACTCAGGATACAGTTCTTCAGTCAGGACAGCATCTTAGCCATGCCTGCAGGCAGGTCTTTCCCTCGGCCACTTAGCCCTCAGCCCCTCAACCTACCCACTTCCCTGCTCGGGCAAGTGTTACAAAGCTCTAGCTCCACCAATAAGTGCCCAGAGGCACCCCACTCCACTAGCAATTCTCCTGCCCAAAGGTACCCAGCTCTCGCTCCATTGATCGGGAAGCTCATTGTGCCATCTTGTGCTAGTTTCTTGGTTCTGTTGCTGCTGCTTCTCTGCCGCCACTTCTTGTCGTCTCATGCCATCTTCGGTGTTACAGCTCCCTTTCTGTCTCCTGGGTGTGGGAGGTTCTCAGTGCAGCCATCCCAGGTCCAAAGGACACGCTCCGCTCCTGGCTCTTCTTTCTTGGTAGTAGTGAGGTCCCCTTTCTATTTCTGGGATTGGCTATCTTTAAGCCTAGTGGGGGATGGCAAAACCGACCAATCCCCTCGTTAGGGTTCCATACACCTTATTTGCATGGTCCCATCAGTTACAGCTTCTACAGTTACAGTTTTTACAATCACAATTAACCCTGTTGACGGTCAGCACTCACAATTGAATCATACAATCCTATCAGCATCTTCCCCCACCATCTCTTCCCTAGACCCATAAGAAAAGAGGAAGCTATTCAGTGGGTATCCTCCCTTGTCCTCTTCATTTTGAGTTTAAGCACACCCATGAAAGCCTGTAAGCCAGCCACTTCTTGCTTTTATCTTCCCCCATCTTAGGCAGCCAATATTTAAATTGCCTGTGCCTATCAAACCAATACTGATGAGACAAGCATGTTCCTTGATCTGTAGAATCCTCTGTTCTGGTTGGAACTTTGAGCATCTGCATCTATAAGCAAGCCATCAAATTGCAGCAATCTATACCAACTCATGGTGTCAAACATCTCTCTCTTCATTCGATCAGGCCCTGGTCAGCTCATTCCTAGCCCCCATGAGCTAGGTCAACAGGCATCACTCATAGGTTCAAGAGTCAAAACAACTCCTTGCACTTCAGGCCAGCTAGCCCTTTCTCTCTCTCTCATCCCCAGCCCCCATGGGCTAGGTCAAAGGGTGCCATAGAACCTGTCCAAACTCAGCCCATCTCTTCATTGCTGCACCTCCCCTCTTCCACTCATCAAGCAGACCCAGGTGGTGACCTCAAGCGAGCATACCAAGCTGTCTACTATCCAGTTCCCTTTAACTTTCAGTCCTGGAAGGGGGTTCTTCTGATGGGCACTGACTTTTCCTGCCTTGATGCACTCAACAGCAAACCACTTGCTGGCAATTCAAAGAGCAAAAGTCATTTTTTTCCCTCTTCAGTTCCTTCCTTCAAATGCAAATTTCCTGCTTTCCCAGCAGCCCTGGGTGGGTCTGGATGTCTTTTCAAATGCAAATTTACTGACTATAAATGTTCTGGATGGGGCTCAGGTTTTCAACCTAAGCCCCCAATATCCTATACACAGGGCTACTGCCTTGAAACAAACAGCCTGTGTTTCTTTCTGGTAAATCTCAGATCCCCTTTTAGCATATCCAACCAAGTATTGGCCGAAGGCGGAGTTTATACATTCTCTGTTTTCTAATCTATAATATCCAATATTCATTTCCATCATACATTTAGGTCTGTTTTACAATACTAGGTAGAAGAAATGTTCCTTTAGTTAAACTAATATTCAGAGTACATTCAGATAAATACATAAACCTTATTTTAACATTTAGGTTTCTTCTTTCTCCACTCCTTGACTATCTTTCCATTCATATGCATATGGCTTGGGACTTTGGTGGGTGGAACCAGAAGACCCTGACCCATATCAATCATCTTGTTTAACTGGCCTGACTTTTGCCCCAAGCCACTCCAGATGCAGCTTTTCTCTCCTCAGTTGCACAATAATGTCTCTTAACATCCAAAGCAACCATTCAAAAATCTAAAGTTTCACATCCCATGCCCTTTCATTCTTTCTCTTCCAAAGTCCCATAGTTCCATGAGTCTGGAGCCATTACAATTAATCCCACTTCTGATGCCAATTGTAAAAATAGTGGTGCGTCGTCCCTGTCAGACCTCCACTAACTTTACAAGGGGGAGGAGAGAGAATCAAGATCAATATCAGCCTAAGGCTGATTCCTATGAGGTGGAGGTGAGACTTAACCTCCTTTCTCCAACCTTTTTACCAATTCTGATATGAGACATCCCTCTCTACTCCTCTGCTGGGTTCAGTTATTCATTATTTATTGTAATGGCATACAGAACTCACAGACCATACTCTCAGTTACGGGATTCATTAGGGAAGTAACAGATTACAATTCAGGATCAGGAACGACTCAGGATACACTTCTTTGGTCCGGACAGCATCTCGGCTGTACCTGCAGGTGGACCTCTCCCTTGGTTGTGTGGCCCCTTGGCCCTGCCTCTGCCCTGCTTGGGCAAGTGTTACAAAGCTCTTTAGCTCTGCCAATAAGTGCCTGGAGGCATCTCACTGTGCCAGCCAGCGTCCTGCCCAAAGACACTCAGCTCTTTCACTCCATTGGTCAGGGAGCTCACTGCACCATCTCATGCTGGTCTCCTGATTCTGCTGCTGCAGTTTCTCTGCTGCCACTTCTCACCATTTCACACTGTCTCTGGTGTTACAGCTCTCTGTCTACTGTGTCTGGGAGGTTCTCAGTGCAGGCACCCCAGGTCCAAAGGACACGCTCCACCCCTGGCTCTTTCTTGATGGTAGTGAGGTCCCCTTTACATTTCTGGGATTGGCTCCCTTTAAGCCTAGTGGGGTGGCAAAACTGATCAATCCCCTCATTAGAGTTCCATATACCTTATTTGCATGGTTCCATTTCTGTAAGAGTCACATGCACCTTTTTTTGCATTAGCAGACTGTTTGATCCCGTACACATCTTATTTGCATAGTCCCACCCAATCATTTTGTAGAAGTTACAAGACCATGCATGGCTAGAAGGGCCATATTAAGTAATTTACTACACCACAGTTAGAAAGACATATCAATAACCACA